AAAAAAAAAAAAAAAAAAAAGAAGAAGAAGAAGAAGAAGAAGAAGAAGAAGAAGAAGAAGAGGAGGAGGAGAAGGTTAGAATGACCTCTGCGCAAGGATGGCACGCATAAATCCAGAAATGGTCCAAATTAACCAAAAAAAAAGAAAAGAAAAAAAAGAAAAGGACACGCGACGACATGGACCTATCATCACCACTTCGTGCCGGCTGACGTGGCACCAACTTCTGCCGGCTGACGTGGCACCAACTTCTGCCGGCTGACGTGGCATCACCTACTGGCGGCTGACGTGGCATCAACTACTGCCGGCTGACGTGGCGCAAAGTGATGCCGAAGACATGGGACCGAATAGTCGAAGCTGACGTGGCACCAACGAATAATGCGGGCTGACGTGGCACCAACTAAGGCCGTCCTCCTCACACTGGGACTTTACTATACGTATCAGACTGCGATTACGGCCACACCTGGATGAATCTGCCCGCAATCACGTCATCAGAGCTTAATTGACAAGGAAAGTCGTAATGTATTCCCTAAGGCCAGCTGATGTGGTACCAACTGTTATTGCCTGCTGACGTGCCACTCACTAATGCCGGCTGACTCAGCGATGCCTAACGCGATGGGTGCCGTTGGCTGACAAGGACTACCGTCTTCCCCCCCCCCTGAAGTAGAACGTACGGTCATTATCCCTGTATCTAGACTGAGAATTGGCCCAAATGCAGGCATAATGACCGAACGTCCTCTTCGGGGGAAGACGATAGTTGAAACTGACTGACGTGGCGCTAGGTGACGTGGCGCTAGGTGATGTGCTGCTGGGCAACATGCGTGACGTGGCATTGGCTGACGTGGCGTTCGGTCACGTTGTGCTGCGTGACGTGTAACTTGGTGACGTGGCCACCTTCTTCACCCTAATACAAAATAGTGTCATAATTGCTGTATTTAGACTGAAAGATACCCCAAATACATACAGCTCTAATGGCCGTACGTTGTATTCGAGTGAACAAGATAGCAGGGGTCATGTCAGGGGCACCGTTCGTTGGCCAGGGGAGAGAGCTGCATCTCGTATAAAAGCCGATGGGATGATGGACTGCAACAACTTCCCGCGCAATCTTTCACAATGATTAGTACACGTGCGTGCTCCACGTGTGTTTAACACATCACATGATCGATCAACCGGCCAATTGCCACGTGGCAATCCCGATGCCGAGCAGCCTCCCAATCCCGATGCCAAGCAACCGCGGAGATCAACTGGCCAATTGCCACGTGGCCATCTCGATAACGTGTGCATTTCTTCTTTGCACACGTAGCTTAACCTGCTTCCTTCGCGGCACCTCCCCCCCCACCAATCCTCTTCTCTCTCCCCCTTTCTCCCCACCCCCTCTCCCCTCACAATCCTCTTCTCTCTCCCTTCTCCCTCTCTCCCTCCTCTCTCTCCCCCC